GGAGCGAGGTCTTAGCACCCCCTGGCGGCCAGCGGTGTCTCTGCCGACGGAGGCCTGCTTCCGCCCCACCCTCCCTTGGATTGCCCAGATGCCCAGGGGATGAGGCCGCGGGCGTCCATGAGAGTGAGGGGGCCACAGCCAGACTGCTGGGTGGATCCCAGCTCCAGGTGCTACCCCTGATCTCTGGACAAGCCTCTCTGGGCCTCTGTCGCCTCGCCTGCGGAGTGGGGCAAGGCAGGCCCAATCAGAGCTGCAGGGAGAGGTCTACCAGATAGTGCAGGGCGAGGCCGACACAGTACCCACTGTCCTGAGCGCTTGGTTTAGTCTGGTACACCCTAGACTCCCCAGTTATAAATGACTCACTTCTGACCCCTGACCTCTGACCTCTGACCCTTGTCCTAGGCTTCAAGTGTTTTTGGGGAGCAGCCCCAAGCTTAACTTTTGGAGTCCTATACCTTTCTTCCCCTACCCCCCGCAGCAGTTGGGGAGGGGCAGAAGCATCTGCTCCTTGGTGGCCCGGCTCCAGTCCCACCAGTCCCCTGGCCACCCTCTGCTCTGGCCACCATACCACAGCCCAGACTGATGTGCAAAGGGCAGGGGGAAGAGTCCGGGAGCAACGCAGGCCTCATCGCTAGGCCAGGCCACCCAGAGGGACCAGAGCTCAGGGCTCTCACTCCCCTCGCTCTCCCCTCCGTGGAGCCCACTTCTTTGAGGGGCAGCCATGGCCAATCCCTCCCTCCTCTCCCCCCACCAGGGCAAGCCCACAGCTCCCTAAGGGTTTATTTCTCATCCAGGTCATTGTACCCATCCACACAGGGTCTCCAACACGAGGACAGATCATTTCAGCCCAGACTGCCTGTCCCCAGCGCTTGGGAACCTTCCCGGTGCACTCCTGTGCCCACGGGTCAGACCAAGCTACCTGTGCCCAGCCGGCCTGCCGCACCGGGTGCCGTGGGGAGGGGACGCCAGCAGGAAAGTCCTCCATGAGCCACAGGTGCCCCAGAGATGATGGGGGTGGAGGGTGAGGGAGACAGCCTGCCAACCCCAGGCCTCTCCTGAGGCTCCAGTGCCCCACCCCCCAGCCAGGGGGCACAACTCCAAGGTTGAAATTGGCACCTGGAAGGGGACGGGGTGCTGAAGGACTATCCTTCCACCCACTGCCCGCCTACCTCTGTCCGGGCCCTCCCTGTGTGGAGGCCAAGCCCTCACTGTGGGGAGCAGGAGGGCTTGGCTGCCGCCCTGGCCGATCTCAACTCTCATCCCCCAGAGGACTCCAGGCGCCAGGAGGACCCCAGTCTGTCCTTTCATCACCCAGAGGGCAGGGCTCATTCTGAGGAGTCTGAGCTGCTCTGGGCAAAGGCCCGGCAGGGACTCCACTTGGGCTGCCCCAGAGAGGCAGGGGCAGGGCACGGGGTTCGGTGGCTATTTTCCCATGTGACCCAGACTCCCTCCCTCCAGACTATGCCCACACAGTGGCAGCGGATGAAATAGGGCAGGGGTGGGCAGCACAAATGGTCCCAGAGAGGAGGAGGAGGACTGTCCAAGTCCCCCCACCCTGACACATGACACAGGCTCACACACATACACGCTCCTCACCCCGGGCAGATACCATAGGACAGACACTTATCACACCTAACCCTGACCCTCCACACATATATACATAGAGACTCACATGCTCAACCCACAGCCAGACACTTACACAGACACACACACATACCCTCACAGACACACCCACACAGACATACAGATGCACACACAGAGACACATACATGAAGACACAGACACACAGACATATACATAGACTCACTTACTCACCCATCCACTCTCCCAGCCCAGATACCCACAACACACACACACACACACACACATACACACACACTCACACACATACACTCACACACACACTCACACTCACACACACTCACACACACACACACTCACACACACACTCAGACTCACACACACTCACACACACACACACACTCACACACACACACTCACACACACACTCACACATACACTCACACACACTCTTACACACACACACTCACACACACACACTCACACATACACTCACTCACACACACTCACACTCACACACACACACACACTCTCACACACACACTCACACACACTCACACACTCACATACACACACTCACATAGACACATACACTCACACACACACACTCACACACACACTCACACTCATACACACACTTTCACACACACTCACACACATACACTCACACTCTCTCACACACACACACTCACACACACTCTTACACACACTCACACACACACACTCACACACACACACTCACACACATTCACTCACACACACTCACACTCACACACACTCACACACACTCTCACACACACACTCACACACACTCACACACTCACATACTCACACACACTCACATAGACACATACACTCACACACACACTCACACACACACTCACACTCATACACACACTTTCACACACACTCACACACACACACTCTCACACACACTCACACACTCACACTCACACACACTTAAACACTCTCTCACACACACACACACACACACTCTCACACTCATACACACTCACACTCACACACACACTCTCACACACACTCACACACACTCACACACACACTCACACACACTCTCATACACACATACACTCACACACACTCACACTCACACACACACTCACACTCACACACACTCACACTCACACACACACACTCACACACACACACTCACACACACTCACACACATACACACTCACACACACTTATATACACACTCACACACTCTCACACACACACTCACACACACTCACACACACACTCACACACACTTATATACACACTCACACACTCTCACACACACACTCACACACACTCACACACACACTCACACACATTTATATACACACTCACACACTCTCACACACACACTCACACACACACTCTCACACACTCACACACACACACACACACACACACGCACACACCTACACACACTCCTCTCACACACGCACACATGCTCACACGGGGGGAGGATGGTCTCAGGCAGTCCTGGTTGTCTCTAAGCTGCAGACAGCCCCTGGCTTCCAGGTGAGCTGATGGCAGTGACACTGCCTCAGGCCTGGCCAATGCGCCCGTGAGCAGACAGTTTCTGCATCGTGAATTCTGTCTGACTCTGGGGGCACACAGCGGGGCCAGCGTTAGCCCTCCCCTCCTCTCACTCTGCTCTGGCCTGGCCACGTGCTGCTGGGTCAGCCTCTGGCTCTCGGCACCTACCTTCCTGCCTCCCATCCCCCAGCCCTGACCACAGCCTGCTCCCTGGCGCTCTGGTTCCTTCTGTCCGATGGCCCAGGGCCCCAGGCCACCCCAGGGGAACCTGAGGGGCAGCCTCACCTGCTCAGGGTTCTGGGATGCATGTGGCCTGAACAGGCAGGTGGCAGCCTCAACTCCTTGTTCCCCTTCATAAGCTTCCAGCCCCTGTGTTGGAGGCAGAAGGGGACATGGAACAGCTCACACCAACGTGAGCTTTGCAAATCCAGGGTGGGACCCAGCAGGGTGTCCCACCGTGGGGACCTCAGGGTCTCCTAAGGGTCCAGCAGCATCTCCCCTAGCCAGTGGGAACAGACTCCTGGGAGATCCACAGAAACCACAGGGGTGGGGGTGGGGGGTCGGGGGAACAGGGGAGGAGGGCCCAAGAAGGGCGAGCAGCATACTCCTGAGAGACAGAGAAATGAGACTCAAAGGCAGGCAGGCAGACAGACAGACCCTAGAAATAGCCAGGCAGCACCTCCCATTCCAAACAAGACCAAAGCAGCCACAGGCACACCCAGCTCAAAGCTCCAGCAAACACTTTCTCCAAGACCTTCCCGGACCCACCCTGGCTCTGGACCAGTTCAGAACCTTTCCTGTGTGTGAAGGTGTGTGCTTTTGGATATGTCTTCTCTCTAGCTCTCCTCCCCTCCCCCAGGCCTGGTTCACCCAGGGGAAGACGATCCTGACAACCGTGAGGTGGTCTTGTCAGGTGAATGGAGCCAGGGGTCAAGGCCAGGGCCGGGGTCTGCCGATGGCCGCTTTGCCCCAAAGCTCTGCTTAGCCCAGAGGCCCGGAAAGCCAGGGGTGGCATTACTCCCTGCCCAGCAGTGCCACACCCACTGGCACCCACATGCCCTGAGCAAGCCCAGTGGCAGCCCCAAATGGCAGCTTGCCCAAAGAGCTCGTCACTGCCCTGGCAGTCCCCAGGGAGCCCCCACAAAGGGCCCCGACAAGAAGACAGTGGCCTCCGTGGGGACAGGTCTATCTTTTTACCGACGTGAATGCTGGTACTGAGACAGGAGGACCCGGTTACCCGAGTGCTGGCCTCAGAGGCCTGAGTGTGAGGAGCTGGCCCCGGATGGAAGCTCTGCGAGCGGCTCCTGTCACACACACAGCCACTCCGGCCCCGGACTTCCCTGCCCCCGGGCCTGCGGGCACGTGGCTCTGGCCGCTCTGAGGGGGGAAGAGCCCGGTCGGCCCCGGGAAGGGGCTAGTGCTCCCACCCCAGCGCACAGAGTGTAGACACCGCTGCTCTGGAAACCGTGTGCTTTATTCGGAACCTCCTCCAGGGTCATAGAAAAGCTGCAAACCATGTGGTCTGGTACAAGGCAGTGGCGGAGGGACTGCGGGAGACCCCTCACCACTGGGCCCTCCTCCTCGGGCCTCAGGCTTCCTGGCCATCCTGCCTCCGGGCTGAGCTGGGCGTGGGCAGCTGGGACTCCTGGGTGTCCCGCTCACACCCCTCCCACACCCCTCCCTCCACATCTCCCTCAGCCAAGAGGGAAGGGAGGGGCTATGAGACGTGGGCCAGGATCCCCACCCAAGGCCTGGGCCTCTGCGCCCACCGGGGCCTGCAGCGGCCACAGCTCCTCACGGCCTCGGAGCCCAGTTGTGTTCTGGGTACGTCCCGGCTCCTGGCTCAGGAACCGTGGGCAGCCGCCAGCCCTCAGTACAGGTCGGCGAAGGGCTTGGAGTAGTTGAACATCAGGTAGTCCATGTAGTAGAAGTCGTAGGCGCGCTGCCGCTGCGGCGCCGAGAGCTGCGCGAAGTAGCGGCGGGTGATGCCGGCCGTGGTCCGCGCCTCCTGCGCGTGCCGGTCCTTGAAGCGCGGGAAGGTCAGGTTGCGCGGCGCGCGGATGAGGCTCAGGAAGAAGTTGGCATCGTCCTCCAGGCTCTCGAACTTGCCCACGAAGTCGTAGTCGATGAGGCAGGGGCTGCAGAGCCTGCTGACGTGGTCCCAGTGGATGTCCATGCCCACGGGCCGGTGCACGTCCAGCAGGTACTGGACGAACTCGGGGAAGCGCACGCCGGCGCCCGTCCGCAGGGCCTCCCCGGAGGCGTTGGCGCGGTAGCGGGCCAGGATGGCCTTGCCGAAGACCGGGTGGTAGTAGCTGTTGGGGTGCTCGAACTTGTCGCGGAAGGCGGAGACGAGCCGCTCGAAGGGCTCGCGGACGAAGAGCATCTTGGTGTAGGTGCGCAGGCGGTGCAGGATGCCCGGGCGGTCGAAGGCGTCCAGCCGCTTGAGCGCGCCGCCGTAGTGCACGGCGTCGTGCTGCAGGCCGGCGGGGGACGCGGCCAGCCCGGCCAGCACCATGAGCACCCGCTTCCAGTTGGAGCAGCCGGCCTTGGGCACCTCGCAGTACAGCACGCGGTGGCGGTCCTCCACGAAGATGCGGGACACGTGGCGCGGCGTGACGGGCCTGCGGCTGCCGGCGGCGCGAAACTTGGCGCACGCCTCGCCCACTGCCCGCTTGCGCTCCCGCTGCCGCTGCTGCAGGCGGGCCCAGTGGCCGTCCGGGGCGGCGGAGCCCGTGGAGCTGTTGGCAGGGACAGGGGTGGCCGCAGCGGAGGGCATTTTCTTGATGAGCAGCCGGCGGCGGCGCTGCCGGGGCCGCAGGCGGGCCCCCGTGTTGGGGTGGCCTGGAGGGGGGTCAGGCACCAGCAGGCGGAGGCCTCTGGGCGCCCGGCTAGACGCATCTCTGGCCATCCTCTCGGTGGGTGCCTTAAAAACTCCATCCTGGGAACCGCCTGGCGGGAAGTCCTGCAGCAAGAAGAGAAACAAACGGTTACCAGGATGGACAGGACAGCCGGCCCCGAGGATCACTCACGCCGGCCCTCGCCATGCCCAGCTCCCCCTGTACTCCCCCCCCCCCCCCCCGACCCCGCTCTGCGACAGGGGCGTGTCTCAGACGAGGGGGAGGGAGATGGCTGACCCTGCAGGATGTGACCTCTCTGGTCCAGCTCCCGCCCAGCCCTGTGGCCCCTGTGGCCACCCCTGTGGTCCTCCCCTCAGCTGGCCATGGCCTGAGGTGCAAGTGTCATTGTGGCCACCAGATGGCGCAGGCCTCCCAGGAACCCGGCCCAGCGAGGCGGGCGGGCGGGGCTGGGGAGCGGTGTCTGGAGGAGGCCGGCTCAGATTTACTGAGTCAATTAGCACACTCCAAAGCTGCCCTCCAATGGGAAAGGGGAATTCATGGCCCAGAGCCCCGGGCTTTGTTCCCAGGGCTCCCAGGAGGGACCGGACACATTTTTCTTTCCAAGAATGGGTTTAATGCGAGCTCCAAATTTTCTCCCGGCCCTCGCCAGCTTTCCCCAGGCAGCCCGTGCTAAGATTTATCAGAACTCACGTCGCGCGGCCGCTGTAGCCTGATGTTGAACTTTACTCCTGAAAAGCAAGCAGAGAGCACAGTATTAGCGGTGGAAGAGCCACGAGGTTCCCAGGGACCTGCTTATGGGCTCATGACTGCGGGTGCCCCGAAGGGAGGGCACTTGGGGTAGGCTCCATAAAAAGGCAGCGCAGGGGGTCGCAGAAGAGGCCCCTCTCCCCTATCCACATGGAAAATGGGGGCGGAGGGAAGACTTGGTCCCCTTGGCTGCCAGCTGATGCTCCTTTCTTGGCCTGGAAGGTCTGGAAAAGCACCCTGCGCAATCCAGAAACCTCACAGCCCACTCCCCACCTCACCCTGTCCCCAAACCAGAGGGTAAAGGGCCCCTCAGAAAGGCCGTCCGTGTTCTGTGCCCTGCTGGCTCTGCCCGGGTGTTCTGTCCTTGGAATACGACACATCTGCACCCACACCTTTGCACACACCTGGCCCGTGCCTGGAACACACTCATTCTCCTTGGACTGAGGTCTTCCCTCTTCCCTCTGAGAAGTTCCCTGAGCCATCCACTTTGCGATGTTGGCCTCGCAGCTGGCCCTGGGGCTCTGGGGATGAGCTGACCACAATCTGCTCTCCTCCAAAAGGCCGAGCAGAGCCCAGGCACAGTGTCCAGCAAGCACTCACTGGTGACTGGGGAAGACGGAGAGAGAGCAGCGTATCCCTGGCCACACTCCAGGTGTCCCCTCTGCTCACCAGGAAGGCCCTTTGCCTGGGCTGAGGCTGGGGTCACCCAGGAGAACAAGCACTGGGGAGGCGAGCCTTTGGCCGAGGGGGCGATTCTGCCTCGTAGCAGGTCTGGTGTGTTCTGGGGAATGTCCCAGGACAAGAGGACTCCTTCGGGGAACTTATTTAGGCTTCCTTCATCCATCCCTGCTGGCCAGGGAGACTTCAGCGGCCCTTCCCATTCTGAGGCTTTGCCAGAGCCAGTCACAATCAGAACCATCTCCCCGCACATAAGTAAACTGAGTCTGGTGGATGCTGGAGTGGGCACTCTGGAGGCCCAGCACTTCCCCTGCGTCTCTGAGGGCTTCACAGAGGTCCAGTGGTGGGAGCCCAGATAGTGAGGGGACGTCCCGGTCCTTGTCCCTGACCCCAGACTCCACTCGCTTCTCTGAGGTTGTTCAGCCACTGCAAGGGCAATGGCCTCATACTGGTCAGGCTGCGGATGTGCCCACATGTCTCCTTATCAACAACCCCGGATTGAAAGCCTGACATCCTTGAGCCTGCTGGGGCCTTTCTCAAGTCCCAAGAGAGGTGGGAATAAAGGCGGAACTGGGCACGCTGCTTCCTTCTGTTGCAGTATTACTCTTTGATCCCTTTGGGCTCAGAACAGGGGTGTGCCCTTCCCTGGGCAAAGGGCAGAGTGTCCACCTTCCTGAGCATTGCCAAGGTTATGTGCGTAAGTGTGTGGAGGTGGGCGAGCTCTGAAACAGGCCTTCCAGACTCTTCCATGAGGCTGGGGAGCAGCTCCAGGCAGAAGTGGTTGCACCCCTGGAGGTACGGGGTACGATCAGGGAGTGCCTGACTGTGAGATGGGAGCCTTCAGAATTGAGCCCCTTGCCAGGGACCCTTTCTCAGCCCAGGTCCTGCTTCCCTTTGCTGCCCCCTTCGCCCCCCTCATGGCAGCCACCCCCAGCGTGAGCTTCCGGCTCAGTTTTCCTGGCACAGCTGCTTCCTCCTGCAGCCACTGATCACAGATCCTTTCTCCAGAGCCTCACACTCGGCTTCCCTCCACACTGCCGGGTTTCCTTAATTATTTTCTTCTGGTGATGGCAGCTGGCTCTGCTAAGCCACCTCTCCTGCTCAGTTTCAGACACAGGAATTTACTCTGCTTGTCAACCCTGTCAACTTGTCAAGGTGCGACGGCGCTTATTTATGTTCCTTTTCTGGAGCAAATGAGTCATGCCAGGCCTGGCCAAGAGTGGGGCTGAGGAGCCACTTACAAAAGGCATCCTGCCAGCTGGTGGGCTCAATGACAACGTGTTTATTGAGGTTGCAGCCCCTACGGCTGTGACCTCCCACCTGCCCTGTCCCCGCAGTCCGAAGGGAGGTGGGCTGTGGAGCCTGTCTCGTTTTATTGGTGCAGACTGGACAGGTGTGTCCAAACTGGGCCCACTCGGAGGCTGGGAGGGCCAGAGCCCTGAGCATAGGCTGGAGAAAATGTTCTAGCTGGACAGAGCCTAGCTCTGGGTGAGTCTCCTGACCTTTGGCCACTTTTGTTAAACAAAGCCAACCTGGCTGCAATTGCCTCCTTTGTGAAGAAAAACCCAACAACAGGTCCTATGGGGAGACTATATGTGCCACAAGTCTATGCTCCAAACCCTTCAACTTATGGCAACTTGCTGGGCAAAGACTGGCCCTTTGGAATAAAGGCAGAATTCTAACAAAGGAAATGTAACGGGCTCTCCCCTAGCAGAGGCCCCGTGCTCCTTCCCCATGGGGCACCTGCTCTTCCACACACCGATTGCATAAAGGCTGAAGCAAAGACCACCCAGCTCTCAACAAGGGAAGGCCAGCACCTTGGGCATCTTGACACTGGGGTCTGCGTATCCCCCAGGCGCTGCACTTCAGCACCCTGGACAGCTCCACGGCGAGCCAAGCGCAGGCGGCGTTGCCCTTGCTGCCCCCACAGGGAAGGAACAGTATTGCCACCAAGAGCCAGCAGAATTGGTGCGGGGGGCGGGGGGGGGGGGGCGCTTACGGAAGGGAGGGCCCTGACCCCAATATAATCACAACCAGCCCCCACAAACCCCCAAATAAGCATACAATCCAGGTAAAACTGGGTTTTCTGAGCAACATAAGCCATGACCACTTGCCCCCTTGTCCACCCAATGCCAATGCTGCCACACTCATTTCCCATCCCCCCACCTCCACCCTAGGAAGGTAATCCCAAGGCCAATCATGTATACTCCACTGCAATATCTGAGTTACCCGTCCCCTCTTCAACATAGCATTAACAATCCCCCTGCACTTTGGCAAAAAAATAAACCACCACTTTCTCTTTCTGGATAGATGACATACATAGAGCAGTTAGAATACGCACAATTCAGTAAGAGTTAGCATCGGTGAGAACAAACAAGGTGTGAGTTATGGGGACTGGCTTCCACATGGTGAACTCTTCACAGGTTTTCTTCCTAGTGTTTGGCTGAAAAGCTTCCTGGTTACTGCCTGGGGAAGGCCCGGGCTGACGGGGGTGTGCAGAGCCAGTGCTTGGAATTAGACGGTGCAGCCTGGGCCTGGAGCGGAGCTGGGAGAGGCCTCACTGGCAGGTGAGCAGTGGGACGGGAGGGTCCCTTGCCCTGCTAGTCACAGGAGGAAGGCTCGCTGGGTTCAACTCAAAAACTCAACTGCTCGGTGCCAGTTTGTGTAGACACGTGACACTGACAGGGGTCCACACAGGGCGCAAGTGCCTAGAAAGGGCTAGATGTGTCTCCGGAGCCCTTGGACATGGTTAAGGGGAATGACTGCTCTCCTGGCTGCTCAAAGCCCAGCCCCAGGCCCTGGCAGGCAGTGGGGAGAGGGTCCTGCCACTCTGAACACTGTGGCCTGGGGAAAGGCAGGGCCATCCTGAGGAGTCAGGCCCACAGGGAGGGTCGGAAAGGGGAGAATGGAAGGCCCAGGAGGCACACCCGGGTGTGGGGGTAAGTCTGAATCCCTGCCCGGGGCGGAATTTCAGACTCATGCTCCTTGGATCCCTGGGGTTTTCCGGGCCGAGCTACATTTCCCTGTGAGCCTTGTGGCCACACCCACCTGTGAGCACACTCACATGTCCCTTAGGCTGCCCATCAGGCCAGGAAGCTTCAGGAGTCTCAGGCTGGCCTGAACTGAGGGAGACGCTTGGAAGTGAGGCACCCACTGCGTCTTGGTGGCCCCAAGTGTGAGATCCCAAGCCCAAGCTTCGGTCCCACCCCAGAGGCCCTGGCAGTTGCGGGATGAAGGCTGTTGCTGTGCTCTGCACCGTCCACATGCCAGCCAGAGAACAGCCGCTCCTGTGCCTAATGTACGTGGCACAGAAAGGCCTCCTGCACAGCCCGTCCGCGGATGAGACAAACAGCAGGGATGAGCCACAAGGTGCGACACGGGGGTGCTGGCAGGAGAAAGCGCAGCCAGGGGGGGTATGCTGCCCACAGGGGTGAGGGAGGAAAGCCTGAGGGAACTGCCAGGCCCACCCAGTAAAAAGTACGGAAGGTTTCTGACTGATGGACTGGATTAGCCAGGTCCTCCGGAGAAACAACCCAGAGAATATATACATGGAAGGGCATATATTTTAAGGAATCGGTTCAAGCAATTAGGAGGTTTGCAAGTCCAAAATCTGCGGGGCAGGCTGAGGCTGGAGACGCAGGGGAGAGCTGATGCTACAGCTTGAGTCTGGGGGCAGCACGGAGGCAGAATTCTTTCTCCCTCGGTGAGCCCAGTCCTTTCCCCAAAGGCCTTCAACTGACTGAACGAGGCTCACCCACGTTATGGAGGGTAATCTGCTTTACTCAAAGGCTACTGATTGAAATGCTGATCACACCTAAAACGTCTGCTTTGGTGTTTAACCAAACAGCTGGCATCATGGCTCAGTTAACACACACAAATAACCATCACAGGGTGTATTGGCTTCCTAGGGCTGCTCTAACCAACGCCCACAAAACTGGCAGCTTAAGTAACAAAAACGTATTCTCTCTGGAGGCCAGGTATCTGAAGTCAAGACATCAGCAGGCCTCTCCCTCTGAAGCCCCTTCTAGCTTCTGGCAGCCCCAGAGGTTCTCTGGTTTGTGGCCATTTAAGTGGCCACTTCTCATGGTCATCTTCCCCAGCGACCTCATCTTAACTCCATTCCATCTGCAAAGACCCCATAAGGTCACATTCACAGGTACCAGGGGTTGGGACTTCAATGGGGACACAACTCAACTCCTGACAGGGGACATGTGACCTCAGGGGACATGTGACCTCAGGGGACATTGACCTCAGGGGCTGTAGGCCAGGCGACTCGGGAGGCCAGGCGACCGCTTGGAGGAAG